AACAGAGGCACCAATAAAGCATGCCCGCCGTGCGGTTCTGAGACGAATATTGTTATCCTCTGCAGGCCTGCCACGAGCAATTTTGTTTTCCTTTTAAGTAACTCTGCTAGATTTACATTTAAAAAAAAAAAAAAAAAAACATCTTGGCCTTCCCCCCATCACATTTTTTTTTTCGATATACTGTTTTGTTTAACCCTTTCATGCACCGTGTAACCTGAACATGATAAGCTGTCCACTGTAGTCACCGCTGTCCCTGAAAGGCTTAATATTGATTTGTGTTTCTATTAAGCAACAAACTAACTAATAAAGCAGCGACACAGTTCGCTTAACCAACAGCAAGTTATAACACTAATTCGTTTACGTTGAACTCTCTTGCCGCTGCTCTATTTCCGTGTTCAACTGCGAAACCGATTGCCTTAAGTTTAAACTCTGCGTTGTAAGCATGTCTCTAGCAAGGAGCTATTTTGGGGTTGACATATTACCGTAATGACCATACACAAGGCGCATCGGATTTTAAGGCCCGCTGTGAGCTTTTAAGAAAATGGAAGGGCTTTTGGTGCGCCTTTTAGTGCGGAAAATACGGTATGTTCATTTTGGCACAATCTGCACTCACTTCTGAAAACTGAAGATCCCGACGACCACAGCGAGTGAGACGAGATCCGAGGCGATCCAGATGAAGCGATACGCATTCTGACTCTAAATGAGAAACACAAATAAAGTGGTGAACAGAAATTACCACGGGAGGGACCCGTCAACAAGTGTGTCTCCTGGACGAGCCATCAAGTCGGCAACAAGTGCCCTTGTGTCAGGCTGCCGAACTCCTTGCTGTTCCTCGGCACCATGCTGGGATCAAGTCTGCTGCTGCGCGAACGCATTATTTTCTCCATGTCCTTGCTCGGACACGTTGCGGCGCCCTCATCACTCTCTGTCCTCTCCTGCTTCTCTTCTCGTCTCAGTGTGCGACCTTGCTTTCGGGTGTGTTTGTTTCGCGTGTGGTGTCAGATGAGAGAAAGGAGGCGATGAGAGGTTGTTTACCATGAGCCAGATGGGGTAAGGCACCTTTCGGAGGACTTGGGGGGCATCAGAGGACACAGAAGGCACCCCGCTGCACCACAAAACGGAGTAGAGCCATGGCTCGTTCACTGGGTAGACTGTCACACTCACGTTGTTGGCAAGATACTCCCTAAGGGGAAGGAAAATACGTCGTCTGCAAACATGGCAGAAATTTATTTTTTTTTGTCATATCATTTGATCAATCCCGGTAAAAACCGCTGACTGAAGGAAGGTGGCATCGGAGAGCAGGCCCAACAGAGGGTAATAAATAATCTGGTCTGATCAGCCTGCGGTGGGCCGAAACACCCCAATGACATCGAGGCACACGACTGATGATGTGTCGGGTGGGGTGCGCCACATGATTATCGGTGCCAAATTCCAACTGTTCCATCTATTGTGCTGAACATTGCAGGGCTTTAACAGTTAGCCCTATAAAGAAGTCTTTTCATGTCAATAGTTCTCGTTGTTATATTTCGGTTTGTATTGTCACGTACAGTGAAACTCCTCTTCAACGAAATCATGTTTGCAGCAAGACATTTTTCACAACAGGGGGTTTTTCACTGTAGCAAATTTGATCTCAGATGCTCACACACACACACACACACACACACACACAAACGAATGTGTACACGCACACACAAACGTATGTGTACTCTATTTTTATTCCAATAGTGCATAAGTATGAGCATACACTTATTTTGAACTTCATATAGTCAGTGTAGAAAGAAAAAAAAGGGAACGAAATTGCAAAATGGTGTTAATGCATGAAGATTTTTTCACACGAGCGGGTATTTTCGCCCATGTAGGTTCCGTTGTAGAGGAGTTTCACTGTATCTGATTTCCTTGACGAGCAATTTACATTTTTCTCGTCACTTGCCTTGAGCAAGTGTTTTTAGTTTTTTTTCGCTTTTTCCTGGTTCTTTGTTACTAGCATCCTTTATTGTACTTTGTTGGTTTTTTAGTTCATTTCGAAATATTGTTTTGTCAAATCTCTTGTCTGTGCCTACATTTGTGGAATCCAATAATGTCCGGGGCATTCCGGACACTTGACAGTGATGACCCAAAACTCCCTAAAGTGGCTAAATTTTGCAGTGAAAGGAAAGAGATTTCATGAAACATTTTATCATCCTACTTTTTACCCTCAGGCTTAACGTAGAAACATCTCTTACTGTATATCTTTGTGGTTGGCCTTGCTGTAGTGAAGGGTCAAGCTTGTAATGCCCCTCTGCCTTATCTGTGCGAGTGACAGCTTCTCATTTGTGGCCTGCTGAAACCCCCGAACCCTGCCCCTGTCTGTGTCGGGGGTCAATGTCACCTGGCACCAACAAATGTGAGACAGAAAGAGACGGATCAGATGGAAGACATTGTTCTTCGGAGTGAATGATATGAAATGGAGTGCAATACGTTGAACGTAATTGAGTTTTTATCCATCCATCCATTATCCGTACCGCTTATCCTCACGAGGGTGGCGGGTGTGCTGGAGCCGATGCCGGCTGTCAGTAGGTTGTGTACACCTGAACTAGTTGCCGGCCAACCGTAGGGCACACATAGATGAACAACCATCCACACTCACAATCATTCCTATGGACAATTTAGAGGGTGCCATTAAGCTGCCATGCATGTTTTGTGAACGTGGGAGGAAACCGGAGTACCGGAGAAAACCCAAGCAGGCACGAAGGAGATGCAAACTCCACACAGGAGTGCCGCAGCCCGGAATTGAAGCCTGCACCTTTGCACTGGCAGACGTGCAAACCAAACGTCCACCGTGCCAGCCACTGAAAGTTTATTTCGTCCACATTCTGTTCTTAAATGATTTATTACATTTTTAAGCTACCCCATAAAATGGAAAATATAGGACAACCATACAACTCAATGTTCGGTGCGGTATTGTGTTATCTCCCAACAATGAACAATCATCGCTGTGATCGGGCAGACTCGGTTTATCTCCACAATTGTCACTTTTCAGAAAACCCAAATAAACGGCATGTCCTGTGAAGCATTGTAAACTGTTTTTTAACACTTGGTAATGGTCAGTAATTGAGAAAAAAAATAACATACCCATGCGGGGGACTGATCAAAAGTATTGATTTGTGAAAAAAAAAACATAAATTTGACCAAATTTACAAGGTTCCGGCACAACACCAGCGATAAAATAAATGAGATTAGTATAAGAGGGACATACAGTCCTCACCCTCTTCCGGGAAATCCCCGCTTTCTGCACAGCCCACATCGTGTCCATGAACCAACTCTGGGAGCGAGGGTGGCCCGGAGGGGGCCTGCGGACGTTGAGAAGTACAGAGGTGTTGGCTCTGACTGCCAGACGAAGCATTTCCAACAGACTGCAAACAGTCTGGTTGCCTATCCTGCTCCGATCCCTCCCGGTCAACGTCTCTACTGTCCAGTAGGGATCCCGCTGGGAAGAAATGAAAGCAACAGATCCCAAGATATTTTAGCCTCTTAACCGCAAAGGATTAGGGTGATCAAACACCTCACTCCAATGATGTCATGGCATTTCGCTTAGATTTTTATGGACCATTATTTCAGTTCTGGCTCACACTACGGTCAGACAAACAGGTCTCAGTTGAGAAATGTGCCTCAACCTGTAGCACATGACCATGTCTGAGTGTGCCTTGAGTTCAAGTCCTTGTGACCTCGTGAATGTGAAGGTCAAAATCCAAGCATGTGCATTAATCCATCCCTGGATGCTAAAAAAAACAAAACAAAACATTTAACATGAACAAGAAGTAGAAAAAAATAAACATGTAAGTGATTTGTACATGGTGTTAAAGGTTTCAGTTTGCACATTTTTATTTTTTACAGGACAGTCCTCAAAATATTCAGAAGGCCACATCTGAGAGACCATGTGGCACTACGTGCTTTAATGTGAACTCTTTCAATTTCCGTGAACTGTCGAGCGGCAAAGACAAATTTCAAACTGTATTCATCCATCCACCCATCTATTTTCTGATCCATTTTATCCTCAAAAGGGTCGCGGGGAGTGCTGGAGCCTATCCCAGCTGTCTTTGGGCAGTGGACACCCTGAACCAGTTGCTAGCCAATCGCAGGGCACGCAGCGACAAACAACTATCCGCGCTCACACTCACACCTAGGGACAATTTGGAGTGTTCAATCAGCCTGCATGTTTTTTGGAATGTGGGAGGAAACCGGAGTACCCAGAGAAAACCCACGCAGGCCCAAGGAGAACATGCAAACTCCACACAGGAAAGCCGGCGTGGGGATCAAACCCACGACCTCTGCACTGTGAGGTCGACGCGCTAACTACTCGACACCGGGCCGTCTACTGAATTTATATATATATAACCGAATACTCACTGCATGTGTATACATGGCTGAAGTGAAGAATATGGATTACCGGTAGTTTATTTAAATAAAACAAACAAGGCTGCAAGTGAAAGAGACTAACCCGCTCCTGTCCTGCCGTGTCCCAAATGAGGAACTTGTGCAGCTCGTTTTGGTATTGCACCGTCTTGGTCATAAAAGATGCTCTGGTGATACATGACAAAACACAGAGAAGAAAACATATGTATGACTATGCTTTTTTATGATTACAGTCATACTTTTATCAGGAAAGAAACTGTTGGATGATTCAAAACAGATTCTTCATGACAAGGTGCAGGCCAATCATTGACGAAAGGTAAAATAAGTATCAATCACGATCATAAATATAATTCATGAGAGGTACGTTACACACATGTACTGCGCTATGTACTACGGTGCAACTTACCCAATAGTTGGGTTGATGTTTGGATCAAAGCTGTCCTCCACAAATCTCCAGACGATACTTGACTTGCCAACACCAGTTTCCTACAGAAAAACCAAACACAAAAAGTAGAATGTGACACAAAATAAAATAACAAAAAAATAAATAAATACAAAATTGTATATGTGTGTATGTATGTGTGTGTATATATATATATATATAGAGAGAGAGAGAGAGAGAGAGAGAGAGAGAGAGAGAGAGAGAGAGAGAGCATTTGTATTGTTTATATGTAGTATATAAAGTATAATAAAATAAAGCGCTTTCACATCCTGGTCCACTACACAATTAGAGAAACATAAAATTATATCTTGGAAATTACCAAAGTTGCAAATTCATCTTTTTTCCTGTAAATATTGCTGATATTGTCTTACAAAACCATAATACAGTCGACCACCTCCTACTTGTGATTCAGCACCAGCAGATATATATTTTTTCTTCTTTCTTTTTTTGGGGGGGCGGGGGCATTAGTCACATTTTTCCTTTATTTGCAGGAAATAATGACTGAGCCAGCCAGCAAATAGCGAAAACCTGTGAATCCACTGTACAGCGATACAATAATCATTATTTTGCAAACTCATAGTTTCTTGCAACACTTGACCAGCATTTTGCAATTCAGCTACAAGACGTTACGTATACAAATTACATAGTTATTGATGATTAAAACGCATTAATGTGATGTGCGTTCCTTTACCTCCAGAAACCAGCGACCTGCGTTGAGCGAACGCAACTCGGTCCAGTTGAAGAAAGCGGCGTCGTCATGTTGTCTCCCAGGAAAAACTGTGCTCACATCTGTGGTTCGTCTCAAGGTGCGATCTCGCATGAGGAATGGAACCCCGTCCACACTAGAGATGCAAAAATAGACAGAATACAGTCTTACTCAAAGACGGAATGCTTTCAGGGACGTTCACTCTTTTTTACAAGACAAATGGCTTACAACAAGTACATACAGAATAGGGGTGTTCACACGGCACACATTTGCTCCGGCGCTGCACCGATGTATTTTGTTGCGATATATTTTACACCGGAGCAAATTTTGTGGAGCGTTCGCACGTACAAAGCCCCTGAGCATATTAGCACCGGCGCAGCGTTGGTGCAGCTCCACTTGCATTCACACGGCAGTTTCTGCAGCGCAGCAAAATGACAGAAAACAAATGAGCTGTCGTGTTGGTTTTTTTTAAAACGTATACACAACTCAAGCAACTACTGTACAGGCACGTCCTTCTCCTTCTCGGTCTCCGTGCCTTCTGCTCGAGAGTGACCGCTCCCGAAAACGTAAATCAACGATGACTTCAATGACACTCAGAAAAGCAAAAATGTAATGCGCCAAACAGAAAAATCAAGAGAGGAAATCACAAAATAAATTCTGTTTGGGGGGGGGGTTGTGAATACACAACAAAGGAACAAACTACACGAACAACTCCGAGACAGTCCAGTCTCCTACAAAAGGAAAGATGACGTTTGGGGACTATCAATAGCACTATGGGGGGGACTATCAATAGCACTCTCACATTTACACATTTAATAGCACGCTCCTTAGTTTGTAAGGTGTAGGCAGGGATTACATTTAGATTTTATATGCATGTGTAAATGGTTTAAAACTTCCTTTCTTTATAAATCTCGTTTAATCTTAAAGTGCATTACTCTATTTTTCAAAACCAATTACTTGTTAAAGTTTGTACAATCAGTGGGATCAGTTGCAATGCATATATGTGAATGATAAAAGTAAATTGCACATTTGTCGAAGGAAATGTAAGGTGCTTCATGAAATGTTTTGTAAAAGATATGTTCATTTAATTTCAACATTTTCCTAATGTTCTTGTGCTTCTTTATACCAAAACAAAGGAAAGACATATTGTTTTGGTTATTTATAGCAAAGTATGGTATCATTTTAATGGTCCGGCCCACTTGACATCTACCCAGGCCGTATGTGGCCCACCATGTGAAATGAGTTCGACACCCCTGGTATAACCCAAGAGGTGCTTGCTACGTTACCAGCCATGTCTTGTGTCTTGTTATTAAACAAAGTCCGAGAGAGCACGAAAGCAAGGCATTCTCGCCGTACGTAATCAACTCTTCCCATGCAGAGCGAGGCTACTCCCCCTTCGCAAACGAGCATTTGCTCCGGAGCAAATTGTAGCGTTCACACGTACCATTTTACATCGGTGCTGCCCCGCAAACGAGCATTTGCTCTGGATCAAATTTTTAAACCACCTCCCTGAGGTGGATCAAATTTGCTCCGGTGTAAGCTGTTTTCCGGGGCTACGCCAGAGCAAATTTGCACGTGTGAACGCTCTACTGGCGCAGCGCCGGTGTAGCACTGGAGCAAATCTTGCCGTGTGAACACCCCTATTGACTCGAGATGGATCTCGGGAATGTGGCAAGTGTTGTTCAGTCTTGCCACAAATGTCTTATTTTATCTCCGAAGGAAATGATTTGGATAAAAACTAGCTGTCTTCGAGGGAAGTGGATCTAGCCCTGCCAGACACCAGAGGTGCTGTTTCTGTGAAAAAAAACAGCTTGTAATTTTACTGTCGAGTCGTGATTACACTCGGAAACAACTGTGTATATCAATGTTTTTCATGTTTTTTTTGGCCTTTGTGTGCAGACCTGATAGTAACCCTTTCAGGGACAGCGGTTACTACAGTGGACAGTTTATCAGCCTATCAGGTTACAGGTTATCATTATTGGTGCATGAAAGGGTTGAGACAAACATATTTGAAAAGAAACGGAACCATAGAACCTGTCACATCTGAGCTACTTTTCATATGGAACTGGAGTGCGCCGGATTCATTAATTATGAACAAGTCCGGATGAAAATGTCAGAAACGGTAGATAAATGACCTAAGAGTGACGTCGGCCTCCAGGGAGCTGGCGCCGTGTTG